GCACAGAGGGTCGTGCATGTGCTTGCTGCCAGGGGACACGCTGTTCCTGGCATGGCAGGACTGGCATTTCCCACCCTGCCGCCTCCAGCCCGGCTTGGCTCACCAGCCGCGTGCTGTGCCATATAGACCCCCAAGGACCTCCATCCTTTGCCACTCTCTGGCTCTGCCATAGCCTGGCACCCCCACCCTGCATCCCGGAGGGTGCCACCCGCTCACCGCTGTGTTGGGCTCGATGAGCCGGTGCTGAAGGTCACGGGCCTCCTGCCAGTGGCCTTCACGGCACAGATGGTCCAGTTGGCACAGCGAGGACCCCAGGACGTTGGCAAGGGCACAGACACCCCCAGAGGCACCTGACAACACGGGGGCACCTTGGCAGCCAGCTCAGCACACTGTGCCCAGCCAGCACCTCCTGGACATCACCACCTTGGCTGCTTCCCACCACCCAGCCACCAGTCCCCAGCAATGCCCCCAGGGCAGCACTCCGTGCCCCAGGCTGAGCAGGGGCAGCAGCACCTACCCAGGGCATAGCTCGCCAGCAAGAAGCCAGCTGATCCTGCCAGCACCTGGAAATCCTCCTTCCGTGTCTTGTGGATCATCAACCCCATGCGGGTGATCTGGGGAGAGACACGCCATGAGATGGGGCATCACCCCATCTCCCCCTGTGCGGCTCATATGGAATCCCCAGGCTTCGGGGAACAGCTGCAAGTCTCAGCTCCCCATCCCCAGCTCGGGGCCGAGTTTGGTGGCAGCCAGCCCTGGGAAAGCCTTGCTCCACTCACATCCCCACCGCTGTCCTTGATCCCAACGATGTTGGGGTGTTGAGCCAGCGTGAAGACAGCCTCCATGGGCAGGTCCAGGCCAGTGTTGACAGGGACGCTGTAGAGCACCATGGGGATGGGAGAGGCGTCGGCGACCTGCAGGAGGCCCGAGGCAGAGCTCAGCAGCTGGGGTGGGTCAGAGCCGTTTGGGACGCACTCCCCATCCTGCTGCCCCAGCTGGGGCTGCCGGAGGGCACCGGGCACCGCTCACCTCTGTGTAGTGCTGGACCAGGGCAGCGCCGGTCATGGCCCCCCGGTAGTAGCAGGGTGTCACGACCAGCGCCACGTCGGCCCCCGCCTCTGCCATGCTGACTGTCAGCTCAATGGTGGCCTGGGTGGCTGGGGAGGAGGCAGAGGGGTGAGGGATGCCCCAGGGGACACGCGTGGTCTCCACGTGGCCCACGCAGGCACTCACATTCGCAGCCCGAGCCGGCCAGCAGCAAGCGGTCCCTGGGCAGAGCCTGGCGCACGCACCTCACCACGTCCAGCCGCTCACGGGGTGCCAGGTAGGGGTACTCCCCATTGGAGCCCAGCACCACCAGCCCTGAAATGCAAGCTCGGGGAGGGCAGTGCCTAGATATCTGAGAAGGGTGCCCACAGGGTGGCTGTTCCTGGCCTCTCCACACCGTACTCTTGGTTGGGCAGAAGACACCCAGAGCTGCTGGATGCCCACATCCAGCGGCTCCGTGGGCCCAGGAGACTCCTGCAGGCACCCTGCAAAGCCCTGGGCTCCCCCCCAAAGGTCACGTGTGGGTATGTGTCTCCCAGATGTCAGTGCCCACCCAGACTGCAGTGAACAACTCTGGTGCCATCCACCACCACTCAGGCACCCTCCTGCATGCCATGCCATCCCTGTGGGCTGGGCACGCCACTTGCCTTACTCTGCACCCCAGAAACTGCCCCACACAGCACTACTAGTGAAGCATTTCTCGGTATCCACAGCCAGGCTGTGCCACCCTGTCCCCAGCTGGGTCACACGGAGCCCTTCCTTGGGACCCTGCCAGCACCATGGGCACAGGCAGGTCAGCTCCTGCCCACTGATGCTGGGCTCTGACGTGGCGTCCTGGGCACCCTGGCAGGGTTCTGCAGCCCACAGCATGCCCTCTCCTGTCCCCGTCTCTGCAGCCAGGCAACCCCTGGACTCACAGCCTGGTCAGAGGAGGGGAGATCCGGGGCACATCCCCGAGACCCCCAGCCTCTTCCTGCAGCCCCTCTCCTCCCATCCATCCTTCCTGGGCAATCAACAAACACACATCCCACTGGGCTGGATCTGCACACACATGCAGAGGGTAGGTGCAAGCCTGCAGCTATGTGTGGAGTACCTGTGCAAGCCTGCATACATAAGGAGTGTGCATGCAAGCATGCACCAGAGCGTGGGGAGAGGTGTGCAAGGGCACACACTTGTCCCTGGGCACTTGCCATGCAAAGGGCCACAGGTGGGTCACCCAAGGGGCTGCCAGCCACTGAGCAAAGTCCATCCGGAGGCTGAGCACCCTCGGGAAGCCAGCAGGTTGTCAGCGCGCTGCTGCACAGCCCCTCTGGTGGGCAGGGATCTGGCGGGAGCCTGCACAGAGAGGGGCAGCACTTACCTCGGAAGGGAATGCTGGCGTAGCGGTGCAGGTTTCCCTCCAGCTGGACATAGTCCACCTCCTCCTGCATTGGTGAGAAGGGGGTGGCGAGGGGCGGGAAGATGCCCCTGAGGTCAAGCGTGTGCCTCGGTCCCGGGGGGGTGCTGAGCCCCTGTCGCTGCCCAGGGGCTGCCCGGTGCAAGGCTGCCAGGACAGCCCGGAGCGGGGAGGCGAGGCTGAGCGCCATGGTGGCTGGGTGCTGCTGCCGGCTGAGCCGTCTGCCCTGCTGAGGGGCTGTTAATATTTGATGGGGCACGTGAGGGACCCGCAACCAAGATGGGTGGACGACATTGGGGGTGGTACCAGGTGAGCTCAGAATGCTCTTCCTCTCTCCAAGGGCCGGCCACAGGAGCTCAGCACCACTCCAAGTGAGCCCGGGCTGCCGCAGCTGCGCTTTCCCTTCCGCTTGCCAGCACTAGCAGCCATCCCTCTGCCACCTGCGGGGCTGGGCTACAGGGCCAGGGAGGGACCAGCCACTGCAGGGAATCTGGGGGCTGTGGGCAGCATTCCCTGCCCTGGGTGTTGGTGTAGGCCTTCCTGTAAATGAGTGAGTGGGAGTTTTTCTGGGTAGAGAGCAATGAGCCCTGCGCTCGGCAGAAGTGACCCAGCCTGCAAAGAGGCCAGCGTGTCCCTCCTGGCATGGCTCCAATGGGGAAGGCAAGAGAACAAACAGCCACCCAGCCCCAGGGAGCAGCTGCTCAGCAGGTCTAAGATTGTTGCTCCCCGGCACAACACCAGCCCCCAGCACAGCATGGACCCGGGCTGAGCTGCCCTCAATGTGGTTTTCCTCCTTGAGCTTGTCCAGGTGGGACTTTGAGGCATCGGGAGCAACCAGGGTAAACCGCAGGTAGGAGTCCTGCCCTTGAAGCTCTCGTTTCCTGGCCCCATGGTGTCACTGACACTCAAGTCACTGTGCTAGGAGTCAGGGCACATCCGTGTTGCCAAATAACCCATCTCCCTGGATAACCCGTCCCCCTGGATAACACAGGCTCCCCAGCCCCTCACCCCTGGCGCACGCTGTCCAGCCCTACAGCCCCCTGGAGCCGAATGCTGCTCTTTGCTGGCTTTTATTGACACAGACAAATCTCAGCTGGATCCTACTCCTTTGAGCTGAGCCCAGGCCCTGGTCCAGGCCCTGTGTGGTCATGCAGGGACCTCCGTCTCGCCCTGTGGCTGGCCCCCGGTCTCCACAG